GAACTCTCGAAGTAATAATAATAATAATATTAAAATTCATTTTCCGTATACCTGGAAAAAAAAAACATTAATTGAATGTGAAAAACAAAAAAAAAACGATCCCGGGTCGGACACAACGTTTTCAGGTTTATTTTTAATGAAAAACATTAAGATGGACAAAGTGAAAGAGAGAGAGAAAAAGAGACAGAGGGAATTAATTATGTTGAAAGAGAGAGAGAGAGAAAAAGAGACAGAGGGAATTAATTATGGTGAAAGAGGGAGAGAGATAGAAAAAGCAGATTTTTTTTCTCTCACGAGTTTAACGATTTATTATTAATTTACAATTTTTTGTTGTTGTTGGAAAATCGATTCCATCAGGATAAAATTAGAAAAGGAAAAAGGAACGGGGGGTTGTAAATGCGAATAATAATAATAATAATAATAATAATAATAATTTTTTAAGAGGGAGACAAAAACTAATAAAGATGAAAATAACGTAAAAAAAAATGTTATGGTGGCAAAAGAAGATAAAAAAAAAAAATTAAAGTGGATTTTTTTTTATTTAAGGGATGAAAGAAATTTGAATGAAAAGTTAAAGAAAAGCGTGAGAGAGAGAGAATGACATATATAAAAAGATGTGTAAAGAGAGAGAGAGAGAGATAGAAAAGAAAAGTTTTCCGTTTATTTTATTTTTAATTTTTTTTATTCTTTCTTTATACTTTTTTTTTATATTTAATTTTGCGTTTTCTTTTTTTCTTTTTTTCTGGTTGAAATATTTATTTTTGTCTAATGCCACGTTAAAAAAAAAAAATTCTTTTTCATTTGTTTTTTTAGATTTTCGTAAACTTTTTAATTTTTTTTTTTTTCTCCAGTAATTATTGATTTTCTTATTTCTCAACGGACCGTAGTTTATTTCCATTAGGATTTTATTATATTTTTCAACCGTGAAATATTCCCAACTTTTCTCCCCACCCCCTCCTTTTTTCCCCTTTTTTCTGTTTTCCCTCTTCCCTCCCCCTTCCCCCTCCTTTATTTTTTTTTTACCTTTGCCCCACGACTTTTTTTTTCTTCCCTCCTTCTCTCGTTTATCGAGTTTTTATCTCCGTGAAAAAGAAAAAAAAAAAATCGAAAAACGAAAACAAAAATTCGTATATAGTTTACTTTATTTTTTTTTTATGGGGGGGTGATCTTATTTATTACGCCCCCTCTTATTCTCCCCACCCCTCTCTCTCTCTCTCTACAATAAACTTTACTGTTTTCTGTTAAATCCTTTTTTTTTATTTTTTTTTTTTTTGTTGTTTTTAAAAATTGAGAAATCATTTTCCAAATAAAATTTTTTTTTTATCATTACACGATCGAGAATAACGACGGGGGAGGTGGGAGTGGGGAGTGGGGGTGAGAGGAAAAATCATTCGGTTCCGTAACGGAAATGCGGAAAAAATAAAAATGGCGAATTGGAAGTTAAATAATAAAATAAATAAATATTTATATCATCGTGATCGTGTTCGACGATTAATTCCAGCGCGAACGTAATCGTAAAATTTTCCAATTTCTGGAGAAACGGTTAAAATGCGGTATCGATTGTTTAAAAAAAAAGATTTTGTATGCCGCCATATCAGATATGGCCCGGAACTAATTTATTATCCTTGACATGATTTTCTTCTTCTCCAGATTCGAACTCGTTTGCATTTTTTTTTTTTTTGTTTAATTCATGTTTTTCTTCTTCTTTTTCTTTTTTTTTTTTTAAATGGTGGCTCTGGAAAATTTTCTTATTTTTCCACGTGTGCTTTTCTCCTTTTTTCTTATTTCACGCCGCGTAACTTTTTTCATTTATTTTTTTATTTACTACGGGAAAGTCAAAAACAAAAAAAAAATTTCCATCCGGGTTTTTATTACGAAAAATAATAATAATAATAATAATAATAATATCACATATATGTATATTTTGGAATAATTTATCCTTTATTATTATTATTATTTCTTCAAAACGATATATTTTGGCCCCCACTTTCCGGTGCACGTGTACGTAAAAATTTTTTTTTTTTTTTAATTTCTCTCCAGACAAGGAAAATATTTTAATTTTTTAATAATGAATGAATGAATGATTGAATGATTGAATGAATGAATGAATGGAAAAAACCTTACCTTTGTCGTGGCATTATCGCATTTGGGTCCCCCGTTTAATATTTTTTTAAATGCCGGATTACATTGATCGATTGTTCCAGTTATGTGATCAATGGAAAAATAAAGAGTCGTATCGATTCTGGAAAGAAAAAAAATTATTATTATTATTATTAATTTGTTTAATTTTATATACAAAGCATATGCAAAAAAAAATAAAAAACGTTTAAATAATAACGATGATGATGATGATGATGATAATTTTCCAGGAACAATTATGGAGGAAAAGTGATTAATTTAAACGGTATTAATGTCAATTCATCGGAGGATTAAATTTCAATCAAATTTTTTTTTTTTTTCCTCTCCATCAGCAACTGGAACAAAAAAAAAAAAAATATTTTTTTTATCTGGAACGAGGGAGAAAAAAAACGAACGAACGAATGAATGAATGAATGAATTTTGAAATGAGGAAAAAAATTCAAATCGATTTGTGACATCGAGAAGGGAGAGGGGAGGGGGACGGAAAAAAAGAAAAACTCCGTAACAAATAAATTTGTTTGTCAATCAAAACGTCGATGGAAAATTCTGATATGGGGAAATTTCTCGGAAAAAAATTTGGAAAATTGGAAAAATTCTCTAGAAATATTTCGGATAAATAAATTCCCTTTTTTTTTTTTTTATTCTACAGACACGTTAATGCCGGATCCAATTACGTTGTTATATTTGTTAAAGCGTGTGTAAATTTATCTAAAACTGACGGTTACATTATTTATCATTCAAACGTTTTTTTTTTTTTTTTTTGTTTTATATATTTATTTTTCGGATACCTTAAAAACCTTTTTAAATTCCTCTTCTTTATTTTAACAAATTCCAGGTACGGGAAAGGAAAAATTTTTTAATTTCGGTTAAAAAACCTCCCTCGAAAAAAAAAAAAAAACAGAAGGAAAAGTTGAGAATTTTTGTAGGAAAAAATCAATAGAAAACTTAATTTTTTCTCTCTCTTTCTCTCTCTCTCTCTATTTATGGAGAATTTTCTAGAAAACTGACAAAAACATGGATAATGGATAGTAACTGACTTGAAATCATTTTTAGTATAAAAGACTTATTTTAGAACCCCTGGAGCTTTGACTAAAAACATTCCAAAAAAAAAAATGATTTGATGAAATTTTTCATCCATCTTTTTCACTCCCCCTTCCCTCCCCCCTTCCGCCCCGCCCCGCCGACTTTTCATCTTTTCCGACGTTTACAATCATCATCATCATCTTTTCCTCTTTTTTTCATCAGGTTAAAGAGTAAAAAAAAAAAAAAAATTTTTTTCGGTCATGTTTTTGGTTGTCGTCATAATCGTCGGGTAACCTCCAGGAAAACTCGGGAAAATGAGAAAATAAAATCATCAAAGAATTTTCCTCCTCGTTTTTTTAATTCCCCCTTCCCCTCCTTTCAACCAATTAATATTTTATTGATTTTATATATATATAAACGTGAATATTTCCTTTTTTCTCTGCCGTACCGAGCCTTCCCCTCCCTTCCCTCCCTCTCTTTCTCTCTTCCTCTTCCCCGGTCTTTTTTCCGCGTTATCTATTTCCACGTCTTTTTTTTCTTTATTTCTTTCATTCGCAGTATTTAAATATGATCTTTTTTTTTATAACATTCATTTAAATATTAAAAAAAGGAAAAAGGAAAAAAGGAAAAGATAAATTTAATTTCCTCTTTCCGTTTTTCTTTTCAAATATGATTTGAGAAGACGTCGATTCTTTTTATTAAAAAAATTTTTTTTTGCTGTCGTTCCGTGTCGAAGTATCGATTATAAATTATAGCAAAACGATTAAAAAAAAAAAGGGAAAATCATTAATGTGATTCGTTTTCAATCAAAGGAAAAAAGGAGGAAAAAGAAATTTTTTGTTTTTCATTTTCTAGAATGAACAAAGGAAAATTTTTATAAATTCTCCAGGGGTTTGATTTTTATTTTAATTTTTCTATTGATGAAGTTTAAATTCATTTAAGTTTCTCTCTCTTTCTCTTCCTCTCTCTCACTTTCTCTCTCTCTCTCTCTCTCTCTCTAATAAAAAAGAAGAAAAAAATTTCCAAACTTACCTCACGGTATCGTTTTCAATGAAAAAATAATAACCGAAAGTCCAGAATTTCGTGAGACAGTTTTTAAATATTTTCGTCCATGAATTATTATTATTATTATTAACGGGAAGTAAAAAGGTTCGATCGGATCGTCTGCTAATTAATATTTCTGATCCTTTCCTGTAAACCGTTTGCGAAATCCTCGATCCGTCTGTTTTTTTCAATTTCACAACCGATATCGATGATATTCTATCGTGTTCCGCCATTATCGAATCCATAACATCCGTCATTTTATCCAAATCTCCTTTGTTTCTCTGTTCAAAACAAACAAACAAACAAAATTATTATTATTATTATTATTATCGATTACATTCGTTTGCGGGCGTTTATGAAATTAGAAAATTTTTTTTTTGTTATTATTTCATTGGAAATATTTTTGGCGAATTGTCGCGGAATGAAACCTTTCAATAATAAAAAAAAAAAAGGAAAAATTTTATTGCGATAATAAAAGAAGAAAAAGAAAAAGTATAAAGAAAGAAAGAAAGAAGAAAAGAAATAAAATACGAAAATGTCGATTTTCGCATCAACAACAACAAAAAAGTCGGAAAAACAAAAAAAGTGATAAAAAATAAAAACAACAAGTCGAAATGGAAAAATCATCAACCACCGGATGCGGAAAAACAAAATCTTAAAAAGTTAAAAAAAAGAACGAAAAAAGAAAACTTTAGTAACGAATGTGATAAATCAAAAATGGAAGAAAAAAGGAAAAAAAGGAAAAAGGAAAAAAGGAAAAAGAAGAAGAAGAAAAATCGTTTTTTTTAGAAAAAACGAAGACAGCCCGAGGGTAAAACCTAAAAGATTTTAATTTTCTCGACAGCACATCATGATCATCATCATCATCATCATCATTATTATTATTATTATTATTATTATTATTATTATTATCATTAAAACATGTTTTATAAAATGACGTCGGAAAAATGAAACCGCGTAAAACGTTAAAAAAGGAAAAAAGGAAAGAAAAAAAAACCGCAAAATAATATCATCATCATCATCGATCGAAAAATTAATAATAATAATAATTAATAATTTGTTTTTTTAATGTAGAAAATAAAATGGCGGACGAATAATGAGGGAAAATAAAAGGGAGCGACGCGGGCGGATTTAACGAGAAACGATTAAATTTATTTATTTAAAAAAAAAAAAATTAATGAAAAATTTCAAACGCGTCAAAAAAAAAAAAATCATTGCCGTCGGCTTTCTCTCTCCCCTCTCGCGGTTGCCTGCCCCCCACTTTATTATTTATTATCATTATTTTAAAAAATTTAAATTTTCGCGCGCAAAAGTAACGCGTGCGGTTTTTTTTTATTTAATGCAACTTTGCGAAAAGTTTTCAAAAAAAAGAAAATGGGATTAATTTTTAATCGCGTTTACGATAAAAAAAAAATTTTTGAAAACGGAGAAAATCAACACCAATCAACCAATCGGAGGGGATTATCGGGTGGAAAATCGAAATTATTAAAATTTTTCCTTAGGGATTTCCCCTCCCCCTCCTTCCTCCCCCACTAAAAATAAAACGCGCGAAACAAAAATAAATTTTTTAAATAATTTTTTCCAGTTTTTTTTTTTTTTAATATTTCTCGCGTTTGTTTTTTGACTTTTTCGCGCCAAATTTTTTTTCTATTTTTTAATTCTATTAAATTTTAATTTTAATCATCGACGCCATTTTGTTTTCCACTATCGACTCTTTAAAATTATACAAAAAAAAAAAAGGTTGAATCGAAAAAAAAACATTTTCGGAAATTGTTTAATTTGAAAAATATTTAAGTCTTATTATTATTACTATTATTATTATTATTGTTGTTGTTGTTGTTATTGTTGTTGTTGTTGTTGTCGTTGTTGTTGTTATTATTATTATTATTAATCTCCTTACTGATTTGTTTTTTTTTTTTTCGTTAAAGGATGTAGATTTTATAATTTTATGACGTAATAGCCGCCATTTTAAAACGTTGAAACCTTTTCTTTCATATTTAATATTATTATTATTATTCTTATTAATTGAAAAATTTAAACTTTGTATTTTATACTTTAATTTTCTTTCTCTTTCTCTCACACCACTACTCATTTTTCTTTCTCTTTCTCAAAATATCAATGTGATTAATATTAATTTATCCGAGCGGATATCTCGGTTTGATTTAGCTCGAAGGTGGGGGAGGGGAAATGTAGCCGTTAACCGTTAAATTAAAAATTTTCTTTTCCAAAAAAAAAACTGGAAAAAAAAAAGAAGGAAATATTTTCCTCCATAAATTTGTACGATAAAAGATCGATGATGTGATTACGTCATCATCGTTTTCATTAAAAACAATTTTTTTTTTAAAAAGGTGAATTCTGATTGGTCGGATCGTTCGGTCTCTTTCTCTCTTTAAAAGGAAAATTAAAAATTATTACGTTGATGTCTGAATCAAAAGTTTAATTAATTAAAAAAAAAAAAAATTTTTTTTCGAATTTTTTGAAAAAATCGTAAAAATAAAATAAATGACCGTTACAAAAAAAAAAAAAAAAAAAAAATGTCGGAAAACCATAACAACGCGTTTTAAAACATATTTTTCGTTTCGTAATTACTTTTTTTTTTTTCTCCAGAAAAAAAAAGTTTTAGAAAAACGTTAACGGGAGTTAAAATTTTTTTTTTAAATGGATAATTAACTCGAGCCGTGAAAAGTTTAACGAGAGAACAAAAAAAAAAGGAAAAAAGGAAAAAAGGAAAGGAAAAAAAAAACTTTAAAAACTTACCGCCAACACGTTGGTTAGCTTTTCCGCTTCGTTTCTGTCAGTCAAAATGTTTTCCGAAACAATATCGTCGGTTATGGAAAAGTTTTCGACGATATTTTCAAAACAATCGTCGTCTATATTATTATTATTATTATTATTATTATCGTCGTCGTCGACGATTCCGTCAACACTTTCTGCCAGTGCTACCAACGGTTGAGCAAAATAAAAATTTTTATTATTATTTCCGACGAAACTCGGTGATGTAGTATTATTATTATCATCATCATCACTTCGACGATTTTTATTTTTCATAACGGCCACGTTTTCTTTTACTCTATGAAAAATCCCATCATTTGTTGACACGTGACTTTGCGTCGAACTTTCCAGATGGGATTCGTTATAAAAAATAAATTTTTCCTCTGGCGAATCGTCGACAAATTTCCCCGTTATTTTTTCATCATTGATTTTTTTAAACGTGGCAATAGAATATTCGCGAGTCGTTTCGTGTTTCACTCCGATAAAATCCCGATCATCATCATCATCATAATTCGTTCTGTTATCGTTCGAATCGTAATATTTTATTACGTCGTCGTTGTCGACGTCATCATCGTCGTCGTCATCGTCGTTGACGACGATCTTATTATCATCATCAGTAGTATCAACGTAGGAAAAATGATTTGTTGTCGTTTTTTTCACCGAGCGTGACGAGGATTGTGACGTAATAGAGCGGAAATCGTAATCGTCGCCATTTTTCGATGAAACGACGTGTGGCATCGTCACCGTCCAATCATTTTTACTAACGTTCGTCGTTAAATAATAATTTTCTTTTTGTAAATTATTATTATTTTTTTTGTTTAAATATGTCGTCGTCGACGACGACCAGGGAATCGTCGTGTAATTTTGTTTCGTCGCGTATTTATCTTGTTGACGGTGACGAATTTCCGTTTGACTAAATTGTAAAACATCGAAAATAAATAATATAAAGACTCCAGGTTTCATTACGTCACGCCGACTGTCACGTAGGCAAGCATATTTTAGTCGAAGTGAAAAGAAATCATAACAGATTTATATTAATTACATTTTTTTTTCTGCTGTTGTCGTCGTCGTCGCTCCTGTTGTTGTTGTTTTTGTGTTTTCTGTTTTTCGGTTTATGCTTTTCCGGTTTACGGTTTAATTATCTGTAAATAAAAAAAAAAAATTTTTTAATTTTTTAAATTATCTCTACGGCGTCGTCGTCATCGTCGACGTCGACGACGACGATAATAATTTTTTTTTCTTATTTTATAACGTTCGTAACGAATGACGACGTGGCAGGAATTGTGGTAAGAATAGAGTAATAAAACCGAAATCAATTATAAATTAACTTTATTTGCATTTAATAATAATGATAATGATAATAATAACAACGCGAAGGGTGTCGTCTAACGGTTTTATTTTTTTTATATAGCGTCACAAAATTAAGTCATAATTCACTGCGGTATTTTTTTTTTATTTTTATATTTATTTAAGATATTAAATATAAAAAAAAAAAAAATTTTTTTTAACGGTTTATTTACTTCCGGTTCACGATTTATTAAAAAAAAATAGCGCGAAACGTCGTTCGAATGTTTTTCGTTAATTTAAAAATAACGAAATAAAATCGGGAGTATAACTTTTTAAGTTTTCCCCTCCCCCTTTCCTTCTCCCTTTCCCCCCTTCCCTTCCCTCCCCCCTTTTCTTATTCGTTTTGTAAATTTAAACGACCGCGTTTATTATTAATATTATTATTATTACGATAATATTAATAAAATGAAATTTATTTACTTGAAAATTTTGTACATTTTAAATGTAACGGGGAGGCGGGGGAAGATGGGGGGCGGGGGGAATTAAAGAAAAGTTTAAAGTTTTTTTTTTTTAATAAAATGCACATACACGCACTTGTTTCAAACGACTTTTTAAATTGTTGTTAAACATTATTAAATTGTTTAATTATTTTTACAACTCGTAAAAAATAATAATGATAATAATTTTTTTATCTCTCTCTCTCTCTATTTATTAATAATTTACGCATTTGTTTGTTTGTTACCTCTGTCGATGTTATTTTAAATAAGTAAAAAAAAAATTTTCCAAAGATTAATTTGGATTTATCGATTATGATAATCGATCGATATTTAAAAAATATATACGTATTGATCCTTTCTCTCTCTCTCTCTCTCTTTCTTTCTCTTTCTTTCTCACGTTTTCATTTCTCTCTTTTCTTATTTTTTTTTTTTTTACGACGATTTTACGAGTACGAGTTGATTTTTATATTATAAATCGATGGATTTTGATGATGTCGTGGAAAAACTGGGGGTTGGAGGGAGAAGGAGGGGAAATTTCGATTGTTATTAAGTAAAAAATAATAATAATAATAATAAACGAAAAGGTTTTTATTTTTTTTTATATTTTTTTTCGGAAAGGATAAAAAAAGATAAAAGATGTGAAAGAGAGAGAAATGAAATGTCAGGAGAGGATTAAAAACGTTTTTTTGAGACAAATTTCAAAAAAAGAAAAATGTCGTTTTTTTCTACCCATGATTTTTCCCCCTCCCTCCCCCACACTCGTTTCCGTTTTCTCTTTTTCTATTTCCGTTCACGTATAAAAAAAAAGGAACATTTTTTCAATTGGTGTTAATTAAAATATTTAATAATCGTTGTTTTCGAATTATTATTATTATAATTTCGGTGCCGTCGCGTTTAAAACGTTTTTCTCACTCTCTCTTTTCTTTTTTATTACTCCCCACGGTTCCCCGCAAAAGTGTAGTCGTTTCCTTTTTTCCTTTTTTAATTTTTAAAATTACTCTCTCGTGATGTGTAAAAAAAAAAAAAAGAAAAAAATTTTTTTAAATAAATAAATAAAAATTCATTTGTAAAAAAGGTTTTTCCGCCGCCATCTTTCTTCTTTACATTCGTACTCAGCCGGGCCCGGTAATTGATGATAATAATAATAATAATAATTTTCAATCGTTAAATATTTTTCCAATAATAATAATAATAATAAAATCTCGCGGTAATTAATTCTTCGGTGATATAAAAAAAAATTTTATCACCACTTGATGGAAAACACAAAAAAGACACGAAAAGGAAATCCTGGAAGCTTAATGTTAAATCGGATGAATGAATTTGTGTTTCCCATTTACCTTTTCCACCTCTCTTTATCTCTCTCTATCTATCTTTCTATCTATCTGTCTCTCTCTCTCACTTATTTTTCTCCTCCAGTAAATGCAAAATGAAAAAAAAAAAAAAAAAAAAAAAGTTTATCCGACTTAATTTTACTTTAATTATCGACACGAGTTCACATACGTAATTTTTTAATAATAATAATAATAATAATAATAATAATAATAATAATAATAATAATAATAATAATAATAATGATAATAATAATAATGATATTAATTAGTTTAAATTTTAGTAAAAATTTTTTTTTTTTTTAAATAAATATGGCGTCGTCGTCGTCGATTCGATAAATTTAATTACGATTCGTTTTGTATTAATGATTATTATTCAATTAAAAAATTTTCCACGAGCGGGCGTTTATCCAGAAAATACGAGGGGAACGGGAGGATGGGGGGAAGGGGAAAACGGTGAGAAAAGGGTGGGAAAGGGAATTTTATCGAAAACGATAAATATAAATAATAAATTAAATTGTTTTAAAAAGAAATCCAAAATCCCAAAAGTGACATATTCGGTTTATTGTTTTTTTATTTATTTATTTAATAATATTATTATATTATTATTAATATTATTATTACACAACGTTACCGGATATTTATATTACGTTACCGGATATTAATCTCTCGCGGGCAATAATTTAAAAAATTTATTTATTTATTCAATAGTTAGTAAAAAAAAAAAAAAAAAGTTTTTCTTAATTAGTTTTCTTTTCTTTCTTTTTCTCGGTTTTTCCAGGAGGAAGAAAATTTTTTTTTGTACGGAACGAAAAGAATTTGAAAAAATAAAAAAAAATGGCGGGAAATTTAAAAAAATAAAAATAAATTGCGTACAAGAATTTTTTTTTTTTTTATTTACCGAATTCCCGAAAAATGATCCATAAAAAAACTCCAGTAAGTCGTCGACTTACTGGAGTTTTTTTTTTTTTTAATATTAAAAAAAAAAAAAAAAAAAAAAAAATTAACTAATTTATGTCATAATCAGAAAAGGTTTTTCCTTCCCTCTCTCTCTATCTCTATCTCTCTCTTTTTCTTTCCTTAACGCATAGAGAAAAACTTTCAAAAATTTTTATTTTTTTTAACCGCCGCGCCATTTTCGAGTAAGATACGGTTTTAAATTTTTTTTTTTTTTTTTTAACATTTTTAAAATAATTATTATCATTATTATTATTTTTCCTGGAGAACGTCATGGAAAAAAAAAAAGAAAAAACGATGGAAAAATATTTTCTACGAAAACATTTTTTTAATTTTTTTTTTCCACGTCAGATTTTAAAACGTTTTGTTAGTGCCACGACATTTTTTTTTCCTCTTGTTAAAACTCGTCGTTTAAAAAAAAAAGAAAATAATTAGAAACACCCGAAATTTCCGTACGATGGGAAAGGAGGAAGGGAGGAAGAGAGAGGAAGTTAAAAGGGGAAAACGTGTGTCAAGTCCGCGAAACAGGAAATAAATGAATAAAAAAAAAAAAAGAAAAACGGAAATGATGATGATGATGGAAAAAATGTGATTTTTTCCAATGTCAACGTGAAAAGAAAGGAAAAATATTATCATTCGTATCGAATCATTATCTGTAAAAAATTTTTTGACGTCACTTTTCTTTTTACCTATTGACACGTTCGTTTACGAACGATTTTTTTTTTTTTTGACAAAGGAAAAAAGGAAAAGAAAAAGGTGAAAATTTTGTTTTAAAAAATTTTTGTTTGTTGTTTGTTGTTGTTTCCAACCGGGAAATTTTTACTTACGGTAGATTTAAAATCATCATTTAGATCTCCGCGTTTGTTCGTTTGTTTCCTTTTAAAAAAAATTTCTTTCTAGTGACACTTTAAAAAAAAATGGAGGAGGGGGGGAAATTAAAATAATATTCTTTTTATTATTTTGGAAAAAAAAAAACTAATATAAAATCTTGAAAATTAAAAAAAAGGAAAAAAAAAGTAATTAAGTTTTTTTTTTTTTTTTAAAAAAAATTTGAAACGATTATTTTAAAAGGTTTTTTTACCTTTTTTCCTTTTTTTACCTTTTTTTCCTTTTTTTTTGTTCCTTTGATAATGAAAAATGAGTAATAAAATATGTTGTAGGAAAATAAACAAAAAATTTCATCCGTACTTTTTTTCTTATTTCGACAAATTTTTTTTTTTTTTCTGTAAAAAATTAAAATTTATAATTT